TGTGTGATAATATGATGCTCCAAATCTGCCTGAGTTTTGTCTAAGACATCCTGTTTCATTCTAGGCAAACACCACAATACATGTCAGCACACTAAAATAGAAAGAAAATCCAAACTTGTTTATGCATTAAGTTCCTGTGGCCATGTGTCTGCAGTAAGGAAACCAGGGTGCCCCTGAACTAAAGGAGTAGTTTATCATCTCCTTTAAAGCTGGAGGACTGAGCCTATCAGGACTTTAAAGAATGCTGAAGCCAGGCATGCTGCCACAGACAGACAGGTGGATATCTAAGCTGGAAGCTAGCCTGGTCTACATAATGAGTTCCAGGCCAGCTAGGGTGACATAGTAAGACCCCGTCTCAAACAAAACAAAACAAAAACCAACTATTTGGGCTGGCAAGACACAACTAAATAAATGTTATCAAACAAAACTCTCCCGTGAAAATACATCTTACTAGAAATAAGTAAAAAGGAAAAAAAGCCTATTCAAATTCCTGAAAAATTACCTTGCAAAAAATATGCACATGCATACACACTACTCCACCATAGGCAACAGTGGTAAAAGTTAAGTGCAAAGATACTAGTTTTATCCAAGATACAGATAGGATTTTATTTGAATCAAAGAAATTCAAGCCCTACATAGAGAAATGGAGGAAGGGAATCAATCAGTCTGGGGAAATGACAGATTAAAGGTCACTTTCTGACTAGTAAAATGGCTCAGTGCTTGAAGTATTTGCTGAACAAGCCATGAGAATCTGAGTTTGGTCCCCCAGAACCACATTAAAGTCTAGCATGGGGATGTGTTCCTATAACCACAGCTCTGTGGGGTAGAGACAGGTGGACTCTGGAGACTCACTGTCTAGCCAGTATATCCAAAACCAAGCTCCAGGTTCAGTGGCTGTGGTAGTTTGAATGTCATTGGCCCTATAATCTCACAGGGAGTGGCACTATTAGGAGATGTGGCTTTGTTGGAATGGGTATGGCCTTGTTGGAGGAAGTGTGTCACTGTGGGGGTGGGCTTTGGGGTCTCATATATGCTCCGGGATACTGCCCAGTATGTCAGATGACTTCCTGTTGCCTGCAGGATGTAGAACTCTCAGCTACCATCATCTGCCTGCATGCCATCATGCTCCCTGTCATGATGATAATGGACTGAACCTCTGCAACTGTAAAGGAGCCACCCCAATGAAATGTTTTCTTTATAGAAGTTGTTGTGGTTGGGGCTGGAGAGATGGCTCAGCGGTTTAGAGCACTGACTGCTCTCCCAGAGGCCTGAGTTCAATTCCAGCAACCACATGGTGGCTTACAACCATCTATAACGAGATCTGGTACTCTCTTCTGGCCTGCAGGGGCACATGCAGGCAGAATACTGTATACATAATAAATAAATAAATATTAAAAAAAAAAGTTGTTGTGGTCATGGTGTCTCTTCACAGCAATAGAAACCAGAAAATGAGGTGGAGAGTGAAAAGGGAAGACACCTAATGTCGGCTTCTGGCTTCCACTCAAGTATACACAGGCAAGTGCACCTGCATCCATGCATACAAGAGTGAGTGAGCATGAACATGTGTGTGTGTGTGTGTGTGTGTGTGCGCGCGCGCACAAAAGGATCAGTTTCTCCAAGGTAATATCAGATGCAGTGAGTTGCCAAGAAAACTTATTGTAAATTTTCAAATAAATGCCGAGGCCAGAGGCTATCCTAAAAGGTGGAACAAGGAAAGATATCAAAGGTCTCTCCTTTTCCCAAAATCCACAAGGAAGCAAACATCGGTTGTTTTTGTTGTTAAATCTGCATCCCAGGTCCCTAAGTGCCAGGCACCTTCTCTGTAGGAAATGTTTCCATTATCATTCAAAAAAAAAAAAAAGTCAAGGGCTGGTAGAGAGACACATGTGGGGTCCCAGGAAGCCAAGACAGGAGGATCTTGAGTGAGACCCTGTCTCAAGACAATAACAACAAAATCCAAAATTCCCTGATGGACAGTATAGGGGTGCATGGCAACAACCAGGGAGAGAAGGAGGGGACTTGAGGTTGGGCGGTGGTGGCACACGCCTTTAATCCCAGCACTCAGGAGTCAGGCAGGCAGGATCTCTGTGAGTTTGTGAGGCCAGTCTGGTCTACACAGCGAGTTCCAGGAGAGCGGGGACTACACAGAGGAACCCTGTCTTGAAAAACAAACAACAACAACAACAAAACAGAGCAATATAGGAGAGAAAGCATTTATTTTATTTTAGCTCACAGTTCCAGGAGACTGATCATTGAAGGGACACTGAAGTC